AAATAATTATTAGGTTTTATATATTCATTTTGAAATAAACAAATATTATAAATTACTCTATCAGTAATGCAGAATTCCACTTTTAATTTAACAGGATTATTAACTAAACTGTATTTGAGTAAAAAAAATATTGTTCTTCGGACAACATTTTCACTTACCACATCTTTCGGTGATTCAAGACAAAGAAATAATCTTGGGAACTTCCCATCTTATAGAGACTGACAAAACCACTAGTGGGACACTGTCAGCTTTCGATTGGTTATTCACACGTCATAGACAGAAGTAGATGTACGTAAGCAAGTATTTTAAAAATTGAAAGAGGTGGACGGGGCCACTGTGTTTGATTCACTAAATGTAGCAATATCTCAGCAAGTAGAAAAGATAGGAGTTTCTTATTTTATATTCTAGCTTGTCAATATCGGTAATTTGAGTTTCTAATTTGTAAGAAACTATAAACTTCATAAACATCTAATTTGAACCAAAGCTCTATTCAACGTACATACCACGTATTCAACGTACCACGTGACACATAAAACAATCAAATTTAGGATTTTTTTTAATAATTAATTTTAAAATAAGAATTTAACTAATGTATAAAACTGAAATTTGAATTATAATGTACAATGTGATACCAAACATTCATAGAATAGTAAATCAATAAAATTTTGAATGTAAGTCTACAAATGTGATGAAATGCCCTTTGACCCCTAACCACAGGAAATCCTGTAGCGAGAGAGAGTTAATTAAAGAAATGTATTTCCTTAAAAGATGAAAATGATAACATAGAAAGCCAAGCCTAATTCACTTACTAAAGATATAAAGGAGAAGATTAGGGATAAGTACTCAAGTGTAAATTGACAGATAGATTTGAAGATTTACAAAGCTACAAGAGAGCTAGGGATTCGTTTAAAAACAAATAAGAGATCCAGTAGGGCTTATAAGAAACAGCTATCTGGAAGATAGTCAAAATAAACTTAAAGGATATTCTCTTTATATATTTATACATAAAATGTGGATTCAGTCCTTAAAATATAATGAGGTTTTGCTGACAACTAAGAGATGGTTAAGCATGTAAGTATTGTTACGTATCTGCTTGTTTGATAATTTCCGGTAAAAATTCTTACCGAGTGACTTCAGCGATACAAGTCCCTTCTTGATTAAAACTAGTTTATTCTTTCTCGTTACAAATTTTGTAATACACTTAATTTCCACAGTCACTTTAAACTTAACAACCTTTATAACACACGCTATAAAT